GACCGTGTTGTACATAGAAGGTCCAACCATACTCCAACACTCCTAATAAAAGCTAGCATGGATCCTATCAGGACCTGGGGCTTTAAGAGCTCCAATACTTTTAACAGTATTCCAGATCTCACTATCCGTGGGAATAGCAGTTAGTTTACAATTTTGTTCACTTGTTATACAAGGTTCAATGATGCGGGTAACCAACTTAATCTGGTCAAGGGAGGGATTTTGTCCTCGTGCAAATCTCATTTTAAATTCATTAACAAAAACCTGCTCCATCCCCTCTCCTTTAGACCACCAAAATCTATTGTCATCTCGAATTTTGTTGATTTCATTCCGTTTTTTCCTTATCGTTGCACTCAATTGAAAGAACCTTATATTTTTGTCACCATTTTTAAGCCAGTTGGCTTCAGCTTTTTGAGCCCACATTACTTCTTCCTCCTTGAGAACCCGAGAGAGTTGATCATTTATTTGCACTTCTGGTTGAATTTTATCCTGTATAGTATTATAAACATTAGCATTGCTATTCAATGACATAATTTCCTGTTGGATTTTGCTAAGATCATTTAGGAGCTTCTGTTTTCTTTCTTTAACTGACCCAAACACCACATGATTCCAATTTCTCACAAGGAAAGAAAACTTACCTAAACAACCCCTAAAATAGTCCATTGGGGATAATCTCTCATCGTACCTCCAAGTCTCCTTCACAAAATTTTTAAAATCTAGATGTAAATTCCACATAGCTTCAAACTTAAAGGTCTTCCTTTTTTGACTAACACGAGGTCCGACTGTATCCAAGAAAACAGGACTATGGTCAGAACCCAAAATATGATAGTTATGAAGGAAATAGTTAGGATAGGCTTCAAGCCAGTAGGAGTTTGCTACTCTATCAAGTCTCTCAAAAATGAGAGTTTCATCTTTATGGTTGTTAGTCCAAGTAAAAGGAACCCTAGGTGCATGTAAAGAAATAAGACCAATTTTGTTCAAAAAATTCACAAAATTTGTCATATAACAATTGTTATTTCGATTGCCCCCCCCCCCCACCACTTTTCCTGAGTGTTTATGATACAGTTAAAATCCCCTACCATCATCCAAGGCTTATGACCAGGGTTGAGGATAAGTAACTCCTACCACATACTCTCTTGAAGGGTTTTCTGAGAGTAAACGTAAACAAAAGTAGTAAAAAATTCAACATTCAGCACCACATCCCTAATAGAAGCATAAATAAAAAGCGAATAAGTAGAGATAACATTAACATCTAACATGCTAAAGTTCCAACATAGAAATACTTCCCCGAACTTCCCCACAGGGTTACATCCAAAAAACTGATCAAAATGTCTCACAAAATAACTAGTAGGGGCTTTCTCCATAGCAGACTTGGTTTCAACAAAGCAAAAGAAATCTAACTTAGACAAACTACAAAGACAATTGAAATTAGATATGAACTCTAGTCTTCCCATACCCTTATAGTTCCACACCATACCCTTCATTAATCTAACTTGTCAAGATAAGTAGATGGACCCGCCTCCTCGACATTTTGCTCTCGAATACGCTTCCTAGGACTCAGCATTCCCACCGTAGGTCTAGTAGTTGTAGAAGTCATCTCAGTTGCATGCAAAGCAGCAACAAAGTCCCCAGCGTGCTCTCTAGCTCCAGACTCATTGTCTTGCACAGATGGCATCATAACATCCTGATTTTGTTCCAGCATAGACATGGCATAAAAAAAATTCAATTTTCCTAGTCTAAGTCCACTAGAATTATAAGACTCTCGTTGAAAAGTTATATCAACAAGATTATCGAAAACTAGGTAGTCAGGTAAGAACTACTCATTGATGAACTTAACATAAAAAAGGAAGTCATCACTAGCAATGCCTCGGTAATCTGGACAATCTGCATTTACTTGCCTATCATGCTCCTTAGCCTTCCTAGCCCTCCTCCAGCCATGCACTAAGTCCGCCTTCGGAGTCCATTTCAGCTTAAGGCTAGAAGCCACCTCCTTATAGGACCTACCCTCCTTTGAGCTTTCACCAGAAATTCTTTTCTCACCTCTCCTCCTCCACTTGGGAATGACCGTAGTCCAGCCCTCTTTATCCGGTCCGCCAACCTTCACTCGTTAGCTCGATTCCTCGCACTCCATATAATCCTCATCGACATTAGCAGCCTTAGGAAAACATAGCATCACATTATCCTGAAGACAAGCTTTTATATCTTCATCAACAACTACATCTTCTGGGTAAACAGTTGGTTCAAATTCCGCATAGCTATGTCTTTCAAGACGTCTTCATCCGCAATAGATGCAAACCTCATATAATTTCTCATAGCTGATCAGAATAGGTGAATCCTCATCGTGGTTTATAATTAAAACACACTTTAGAGGGAAATGTAAGTCCACCTCCAGCAAAACTTTCACGAACAACCCGTTCAGACCCAATGTTACTTCATGAACCCTAATCACTTTCCCGATTAGTTGAGTGATGTCCCTGATAATTTGTTCTTCTTTGTAGTGCACCGGGGACATGTGGCAATCTTGCCCACACCACCAGCTTAGTAATAATATCAGTATCCTTGAAGTTTTGTTTCCATCGTTCCAGATGGAAAATTTGGCCCCAGACATACCATGGCCTATTGTTTAGGACATACTTCAAGTCGTCTTCATCCGTGAACTCAAGAGCAAACCATTTCCTTCCAAAATGGTCCAGATAAAAGGTACTCTTCACCTCGTTTTTCCACAGGAGACCTAGCTTCCATTTAATCAAACGAGCATCAAGGGATTGACCAAACATCTTCCCCATAAGAACCCTAGAGAGCATATGGTCAACATTGATAGAGGAAGCAAGGTGGGTAGTGACCCTAGTTACACCTCTTTCCATAGTGAATGTGCTCATCGCTTTCTCAACGATCACCACGTCTTGACCGGGCTCGGGAACGGGAAAAGGGTTCTCCCATATAGGGATGTAGCCCTTTGAGCAGATACGAGGTCTATGGGCAGAGGACGAGGAGGAGGCAGCAAGCTGAGGGTTGGTCATCTTGAGAGAGAAACGAAATGAAAGGCTTGAGAGTATTAGGGTTAGTGGGTTAAGCAGAAAACCCAAGTGACGATTTATAGGGAGCCAATTAGGAGGAAACCAACCGTCAAAACAAACTAACATGATGAACCTACTGTCATCAGGGGAGCTCAAGAAGCGTAAGACAAAGATCATGATTATCCCAAGCCACCAATTGTTGGGATCAAAGTCCGCATGCAGAAAGCCTCAATAAAACGCAACCAGACTGAACAGTTTAAAACCAATCACAATAAAGCAAACCAAGTAGGGGAAGATCAAACGTTCCCAAAGATAGCAGTCCCCAAGAAAAGCAAAAGTATCCCAAAACCCCACGAAACACCAGTAAAGATGGGATCTACACCCAAACAACAAGACCCGGAGGAGCCAAAAGTCCCAACAAACATAAGAGAGAACGCCAGGCCCTCGAAAATGAAACCATAGAGACCATAGAGACAACCAATAAATTAGACTAATTAAAGAAAAACTCACACCATAAACAACCAAAAAACTAACAAGTAAAGAGAAATTAGCTAGGTAATCAAACCACCACTTAGCAAACCAGTCTGACACAAACAAAAGCAAAATTATCTTAGCCCTAATTATCCCTCCCCCAAATAGATCAGCTAGATGATTACCCATCCCCCAATCATCAGGATTAATCTTACTTCCACGCACTCAACCTTCAGCCAAAAGAACCAGGCCGACGTCATAGGAAGTAGCAAGGCACGAAAGCACCCACGGCGCTTCGCACCCAGAAACAGAACTCCCCGTTAATCTTGTTTATCAAAAATGAATATAAATTTACTCAATTGCTACTTTTAATTAATCTCATCTTGATTTTTAAGTATTCAATTACAGGTTTTGAAGTGATTCATACTTTTTTTTTTAATACCATTTGTCATAGTAAACACATGGAAGTGAGAAATTGGAAATATTTTATCTAATACTCTGACACTCATGTTCTAGGAAAGCAGGGACATCAAGATTCGTAATGATTCCAATTCACATTTCTTATAATAAGTTTAGTAGTTGTGTCTTCCCAATATTTGAACAGACCTTAAGTTCAAATTTTCCGCCTTAATTGATTAGAAAATGATAAATAAGAAAGAGTAATTCCTAGTTTATGCTTTTTTTAACAAAAAACCTTTCACTTTAAAGTTAAGCAATAAAATAGTGATTGGTAAAAACAAAATGTGCTGCTTATTTTAAAAGCAATGATTTCCAGACAGCAGTTTTTAAAAGCAGCATATATATTGCTTTTAAAAGTTGCTTTAATAAAAAGCTGAGTTAAGCCTTCAGAATATTTTTAATTCCTGTAATACGCTCATTAATTTTAAGCTATGACATTATTTATCCTTCTAGATACTTTTTTTACATTGTTTTTCAAACTCACAACACTTTTAAAAATGCAATTTATTAAACACTCAACTGCTTTATGTTACAGCTGATTATTCTTAAACCACAACAATCCTAAACTGGCCCTAAATCTAGTGGTAATTGTATTAGTTATTTTTTTTAACAGTGTGTGTGTTTTTTTTTAAGAGATTTAATGCCGTATCTACATGTAATAATGTCAACAACTATCGTTTATAAAAATTTGGACTTACAATATCGTCCAACAAAGCTTATTAGTATCGTTTATAAGAGGGATCAAGAAATCGAGTCCAAATATTTGATATGGAGCTTGTGCTGCTAAAATGGCATCGGACTTCATCACTTTTGCATGACTTGCCTACTTCTAACCTTAGCTCAAGCTAAAAATCATTTCCCTCATGTCCTTGACTTAATAAACTTCATAAAGATCAAGATTATCTATATAGTAATAAACCACAAGCATAGGATGGCTTACCTAAACAGTTCTTAATGAGAAACCTCAATGCACGCAGCATGCACTTCTATATTGTTTATATCTATGCATTCCTTATAAAACCTAGTGGCTTGGAATATGCAGTTGGACTAAAGCACTGCTAATTTGAGTGAGATGGATCGAAAACTCGAATCCAAAAGTAAAGTTTGTGTCACCGGGGCTTCTGGTTTTCTGGCATCCTGGCTCATTAAGCGGCTTCTCTTGTCCGGTTATCATGTAACAGGGACTGTAAGAGATCCAGGTAGGTACCGTAACCCCCAAGTCAATCTGCTTGAAGTAGCATTGGATTCGTTTTTTCGACATAAAACTTATGTGGTTTTCTGCGTGAGTTCAAAGGAAACGAGAAGAAATTGGCGCATTTGTGGAAGCTAGAAGGAGCTAAGGAAAGACTCAGATTGGTGAAGGCAGATTTGATGGAAGAAGGCAGCTTTGATGACGCAATCTTGGGGTGCCATGGTGTTTTCCACTCTGCTTCCCCTGTTTTGAAACCTTCATCTGATCCCAAGGCAGGTTGCTCATCTAACTTTTTGTCGTTAAATATATGACTTATGTTATGTTGTTACACTATCAATACAAATTATACGCTTAAAAAGAATTTCGCCGTACTGATAGCCGAGATTGATAGTTTAACACATAGCATGCGGGACAAGAGAACATTTCGCTTAAAATTAGTGGTCTTGTACATAACTTGAGTTTGTGAGTATCTTTTGTCATCCAGACAGAAATACTGGAACCGGCTGTTGAGGGCACCCTGAACGTGTTACGTTCGTGTAAGAAGAATCCGTCTCTAAGGCGCGTGGTCCTCACCTCATCTTCTTCAGCTGTAAGGGTGAGACCAGATGGGGATTTCTCCTCCAATGTACCGCTTGATGAGTTGTCTTGGAGCTCTGTCGAACTCTGCGAGACGCTTCAGGTAGCACTAATTAACAGAACCCTCTCTTTCTGTTCTTGTTAAGGATTTTTCCTTAGCACTGCCAGTATGCAGTCCAATATTTGATGATTTTTTCAGTGAATTCGACATAACTTTGAAGGTTTCCATTGTTATATACACTAATAGCTAGCTGCAAAACAAAGCAATGCAGATTTATATTGATCTATGCTATTACGTATCTTAAGCTCAATAATTTCTTTTTCCATGTACATTACGTATGGTACATCCGAACGGTGAACTGACAAATTATATCTACCAATTACAAAAGATATGGTACCCTTTGTCGAAAATTTTAGCTGAGAAAGCAGCATGGGATTTCTGCAAAGAAAATGGGATTGATTTGGTAACCATCCTACCCTCTTTCGTGATCGGGCCTAGTTTGCCCCCTGATTTGTGTTCTACTGCATCAGATGTTCTTGGCCTGCTTAAAGGTACTACTACTGTTGATTTATGTCCTTGCATCATAAGCGCTTCGTTTAATCATGATCATAAGCGCGTTAAATGGTTATTTGTAGGAGAAACAGAGAAATTCAAATGGCATGGAAGGATGGGATATGTTCACATTGATGATGTTGCACTCTGTCACATCTTAGTATATGAGCATGAAAGTGCTCATGGTCGATATCTTTGCAGCTCAACAGTTTTGGACAACAACGAGTTGGCTTCCTTATTATCTGCAAGATATCCATCCTTACCTATCCCCGCAAGGTTTTAGTTTTTACCAGCTACAATTAATTAAGCATTCTGAATCCTAATCTCTAAAAAAGAAAAAACGCGTGTCACACTAAGCGTATCAATTATATCAGATGATTAATCGAAAATTGACGTGGGAATTTTCAGGTTTGAGCAACTAGGGAGGCCACATTATGAGATGAACACCTCAAAGATGGAGAGTCTAGGGTTCAAGTTTAAGAGTATCCAAGAGATGTTTGATGATTGCATTGCTTCTTTGGTGGAACAAGGCCATCTTCCTGCACTCTAGTTAATTTATGCTCTGTGATTTTCTTGCCATACTGGCAGTGGCTGAATAAAGTAACTAATAACTTTACTTTAGCCTGTACTACTACTTAATCAATGGTTTGGACTTTGGATTCACAATATAATATGTAAAATGTTTGACAAAAAATGTTTCCTCTTTTTTTTTTTTGGTTGGACAAGTGATATTCAGAAAAAAGAAATTCAAACTCAAAAGTCTCCGTAAGTGAGTACGTGATCTCAATCGCTTAAATTATAAATTGTAAGTGCTTCATCTATTTATAAACATTTAACTATGCCCATAGGTGGGTTGAAATATTTTTAGCTTTTTTGGGTCTCTCTGAGGATTAGCCTTTTTTTTTGGGGTGTTGGATATCTCAAATTTTGGCCAAAAAAATTAGAGAAAAATACAGAATCCATATTCATTGCTCAAAGAATGCATGAACTCTAAATAAATATATGAATTCTACTAGATAAGTGAATGTATTTGGAGTATCAAGAGTCAATCTATGAAGTTTGATGTATTTGATAGCAAAGCAGTCCAGAAGGATTTTGATGGGGCTCCTAATTACTAGTGTACATTGATTGAAACCTTATTAGTTTTAAATTTTTGACCAAAGTTTTTTAACTTTGTATACATCAACATATTAGCAACAACTATTTTATATTTTAAATTAAACGTTACAACTCAAGTAGTGGAATGGAGACATCCTTTAAAACAACTTTTTTTGAAATTTTTTCCGTGATTAAAATGTCGAAAATAAGTTAACAAAAGAGTAGTTTTTTTTTTTTTGAACAAACGATATTAGGGTGAGGGAGTAGGCTCATAATGGGTTAGCAATAATGTGGTTCGAATTCACTTTTGGTGATAATCAAACCTAGACCTCTCACTTACAAGTAAAGAGGAATACCACTAAATTGTAGTATAAGTATCATATATACTTTGATTTGATTTAGATTAATTATAGGGATTTACTTGGGTTAGTTTGACTTGATTCTACTTAGGCCTGTGGGGGCATAGTTTTTCCCCTCAAGAAGTCAATTCACTACTCTCAAAAATCAGGATGTGGAGCTATAATCAGGATTTGGATCCCATATGGATCCAAATTGTAGGGATTCTAAGGATTCTCACATCCTAATCATTCATCGTACATCGTGCGGTTAGAAATCATTTGAATTTTTTTATTTAAAATTAAATACAAATAGTATCTAAAGAAAACTGGCAACACGACGTACGATGAACGGCTTAGATGTGAGGATCCCGAGAGGATCCTCATCCCTATAATCATGCTGAAGAGATGTTGCATTATCCCACTAACATGCCCCTGTGGAATATCCAATGAGTTAGGGAGAAAAATGAAGGGAAGTGAAACTTGCAGCCCAATACTTCAAAGCCTATACATATAAATGGCAACTAACGTACCTACAAGAAGGTAGATATGAAATTAGGACCAGGATCCTCTCCTGAGCAATTAGTTCCCTAGGGATCCCGCAATCTTGTCCGTTCATTTTATATCGTGCGATCAGTTTTCGTTAGATACTATTCATATTTGAATTTTAAAATTTAAATTTTAAATAATTTCTGACCGCACGATATACGATGAACGGACATGATTGCGGGATCCCTAGGGAACTGCTCAGGAGAGGATCCTGGTTCATGAAATTATTCTAAAGTTCTCCTACAATCATATTAAGTACTCCTTAATATGAGTGTTAGAGTATTTTTTTGCAAGTATTTTTGTCATACTCGCAATTAAAGATGGTGTCTAAAACTTCTCAATGTATTTATGAGATTACTTATTGGTAAAGAATTGGATCCGAATTTTTTCACACCGGCAATTAGCGCCCTTTGTGAGAAACGTGCAAAAAGCATATAGAGAGGCCGAGAACACCGTCCAAGCTATAATGGGGTCCAAGTTAAAGCCCCAAACAGCGAAGATGCTCTTCCCTCCTTTATGATTTCACGAAGGAGCATTTGACAAATAAGAAAGTGAGAAGTAGCATATACAATTATCTTCCAAGCTTTCTAGATGGATATCAAACTGAATTGCTAGCAAACTAATAAAACAGTTGCATGGTAGAATTTTGATGTTTTGGGCGAATGATTAACATGTCATGTGATTTATAAAATTCTCTCGTACCCATCAATACTATTTCTCCATCCACTTTTTAACGATAGTTTTAATGACATCTCTAACCTTTTGCAGAATAACCAATAAGACAATCTTTAACCTTTTATTCTTTTATTCTTTTGTTTTTGTTTTTGTTTTTGTGTTAATTTTTCTTACTTTTTAGATTCATTCCAAAAATAAGAACAATGTAAACTTTAATTTTCAATTAAAAAACTGAAAAATAGAATGAATAAAAACATGGGCCCAGCAAGTTGAAGCCATCGTAACGGCACCAACCAAGTTGAAATCATCGTTTTCCTCGTCTTTGATGTCAGTTCCTTCGTGTCCATTCCAACTCTTCATCAAACACCATAGACCAATTTCAATTACCTTAAGAAACCTTACTCTTTTTCTCTCTCTTTCTCTCATACCCATTGATATATAGTTTCGGCAATCTGTGTTGAACTGTACTCAGGTCATCTAATTGACGTCGTTTCGATACCCCACTTCTTCAATTAATCCTCTACTTGCGTTTTAATTGCATGGAGCGACTACGAGGTCGACTAAGGATCTCACTCATCCTCATAGTCTTGATAAAATTAGAGACAGAGTTAGCTGACGATGGGAAGGGGGTTGTTTGCCATCGAATGGTTGTGGTCTTGATAAATGCATATTACTTATTATCATAATTGTCGATTTGTTCGAAATAGTGTAACTAAGCTGGCTTTGAATGGAATCAATTTTTTAAAAATAATTTTTGGACGACAAGAAGACGAAAATATGAGAGCCTCTCTTTTAGCACCCTTTACAGATATTTATTCTATTCTGGCCATGCCAAGTAGGGGTGGATTTTTTTGCCAAATTACCGTGCCAACCGAATTGCCAACCGTGCCATACCGATTTTGTGCCAAATTTTTTGTACTATCGGTAATGGTACGGTATTGTACCATACCAAAATTTTATGGTACGGTATTGGTAATGGATACCATTACCACGGTATTACCGTACCATACCGAAAATACAATATAATATATCATTTATAAATTATATAATAGATAATTATATAACACATATTTATAATATTCCAATAATTTGAAAATAAAACCCTACTTATATTAGCATTGTTGTTGGTGACTTTGATCTCTTGAAATTGTGGAAATCAAACACAAAAGAGTTCCTAATTCTTTCACAAATAGCCAAAATATCTTTGTAACCCCCACTTCTATTGTTGCTAGTGAAAATGCATTTAGCCTAGGGAGGAGGGTTGTGGACCCTTTTAAGGTATCCTTGACTCCTAAAACAATGGAGGCACTAGTGCGTACTAGTGGTTGGCTTAATGCAGATGAAGTAAACTTCTACAAGGAACCAACGGAAGATATGCTTCAATTTTTCAAGGAAATGGAAGAAGAGAAAACAAGAAAGATATGCTTTAATTTTTTCAGTAAATTTGTTATTAAATGGTTTTCAACTTTAATTCTTCTTGCTACTAATTAATATGTTTTCTTTGTTTGTAATGTAGGCTTAACACAAACTCAATCTTCTACAAGTTTAATGCCTCCTCCAAAAGCTTCGACATCTCAAGTTTGAATAACTGATCAATGATTTCTCCTTTTTGAAGTTTACTTCCAATTTTCATTTGGTTTGAAACTTTAATTTCTATTTGGATTGTTAACTTCTATTTGTTGTGGTTCGTAACTTCTATTTGGATTGTAAGCTTAATTTTCATGATGAATCTTGATGCATCATTTGAATTATTATGTGTGTGAATTGTGAATGATGAATTTAATATATAATGTATGAGATAAAGGTGCCAAAAAAAAAAGTTTTGCCCTTGAATTGAGTTAAAAAAACAAAAACAGATTTTGTCCCAAAACAAAATGGCAATTACCATTGCCATATCATGCCAACCGAACTTTTGGCAATACCGAATTTCGGTATACCGAAAGTTTGGTATGGTAATGGTAATAGATTTTACCAAACCGAAAGTTTGGTACGGTAATTAGTACAAGGATTTTGGTACGGTAACCGTACCGAACCCACCCTAATGCCAAGCATTATCCTAATCCAACAGATTGGATGGCGTCAGGTTTTGCCAGATGAGAATGTATGCTGCTCTTCTGAACTTGACATGTTTCACTTGGGTTCTCCGCAACTGGGTCTCATCATTTTCCTGCCGGCTGGAGCCCTCAAACGGTCAAACCAGGTCTGGTTTTCCTCTCTCTCGTCTCTTCCCTTCGGTATCTTATTTCATCCCTACCTTTTCTCTCTCGGAAGAAATCCAACTTAATCCAATCTGAAAACTTACAAACATAAACAAAATCTGATCCATTTAACATATTTTCTTCCGCTCTTTGGTTCTCCAATTTTCATGAGAAATAGGAAAAACTAGCAACATAAACAATCTGACCCATTAAACATATTTTCTTCCACTCTTTGGTTCTCTAGTTTTGTAAGAGAAATAGGAGATGGGTTTTGATTATTAATAGATTACTAAATAAGAATAGCATATGAATCTTAGAATGCCAGGTTTTGCGTCAGATCCACACGACACATCCTATGCAGTCTTCCACTTCATGGTTGAGATTTTCATTCAATTTTCTGTTCTTTTGCAAGATAGATGCAAAATAACGAAAGCATTCACTCTTTGATACTTCCTGATCTCCAATCATCACCCCTATTTCATTTGGACCTCCATTTCCACTAAACTTGTACTCCATATTCTCTGTCTTTGACCTACTTTGGCGAAGACCTCTAGTTCCAACACTTCCCGCCAAAAGTTTAGCTTCATATTTACTCCCTCCAGCATTTCATCTATCAACGTCGTCTGCAAAAAGTATACACCAAAAAATATCATCTTGAATATGCCCCGTTAAATCCTCCATAACCAATGCAAAAAGATAAGGTCAGCATAAACAAGTAATTTACTAATCTTTGCATTTGGCTGGTGAGTGAATGTAAAAAAGAGCAGAAATTGAATATCCGCACAATCTTGTTTATTTCATCCTTAGTTCTCCTTTAATTTATTCACTCCAAAGATTTGAACATACATTGGTGCGGATGGGGAGGGAAAATGTGTGCGGAAATCACTTTCTTTTTTTCTTGTTGGATTAGGGCAGTCGGGTGAAAGGAAGAGGGAGAGATTTGATGGGTTGCAGCCGTGTGATTTCAGTGCTTGGATTTTGTTTGGACGGTTCGGTTTGAAAGTCTATAAATTATAATGCACACATTTGAATACACCAATTAGACTATAAAGCAACAGATTTGGGTGTAGCCAAGTAGGATAGAGCAATGTGCTCCCCCCCCCCCACACACACACACACATTTCACCCAGTAGATTACAAAGAAAATTTAACGAGTGATGGTGAAATTCACCTTCATGAATAATACCTCATGTTGGTGTTTTATGGCCCCAATAAACTATTCGATCTCTTCTAACCTGTTTCCATCTGCATTTGTTATTAATATATATTTTGGCTTGCAGTAGAAAAGTGCTGCTGATTTGAAGGGGATGGATGAAAAACTTGAATCCAAAGGCAAAGTTTGTGTTACGGGGGCTTCTGGCTATCTGGCATCTTGCCTTATAAAGCGGCTTCTCTTATCGGGCTATCATGTAATTGGAACCGTCAGAGATCTAGGTAATCCCCTCGTCAATCTGCATGATCAAAGCCTGCAATGCATTTCTTTATTAAATGACAGATTTTGTATCGATGGTATATGTAGATGACAATGGTAGATAATATGCCTGTTAATAAAAAAGCTTATTATTGTGTCATTGATCCAAAATTCTTCCTTTAACAAATAACAGACATCTGCACACAGAATATTTATAAGATTATGATATTCTGGTTTGTGCAATGCATTCAAAGGAAACCAGAAAACGTTGGCACATTTATGGAAGCTGGAAGGAGCTAAAGAAAGACTCAGATTGGTGGAGGCTGATTTAATGAAAGAATGCAGCTTTGATGATGCAATCTTGGGATGCCATGGTGTCTTCCATTCTGCTTCCCCTGTATTGAAGAAACCTTCATCTGATCCAAAGGCATGTTGCATCTTATCTGAGACTATATATGCCTTAAAATTAGGGATTTTTTTTTTATTTTTTATCCTGATTCCTGAACACTTGGCCTTTTGAGGTTGCAAAATCTTCAATCTGGATTGTACATTGAACAAAAGTTCACCCTCTCGATAGTTCAGATTGATAGTCTGGGTTGTACATTGAACAAAAGTTCACCCTCTGGATTGTACATTGAACAAATGTTCACCCTCTTGATAGTTCAGATTGATAGTCTAATAGCATAACATGTCAAATTTCTGGCCCCCAAATTATTAAGCCTTCACACAAATTGAGGAATGTTGTTATTCTGTGTCGTGCATATATAGAGAGAAGTCTTGGAGCCAGCGATTGAGGGTACCTTGAACGTGTTGCGTTCGTGTAAGAAAAATCCATCTCTGAGGCGAGTGGTTCTCACTTCATCTTCTACAGCTCTAAGGAATAGACCCGATGAAGATTTAGCATCCTGTGTAAAACTGGATGAATCATCTTGGAGCTCTGTGGAACACTGCCAGAGACTTCAGGTTGCTTTCATCACCTAATTCACATAAAATCTTCAGTAGTTAATATTTTTTTTCTGGTACAATTAAGAATAATTTTGAATTCTGCTCTTTTTATATATAGCTCTCTAATAAGATTCAAAAGCATTGCAGATTTATGTTGATCTCTGCGAGTACATCTCTTAATCTCAATACATCTCTTAATCTCAATATTTTCTTTTGCCATGTACATTATATGTTGTATATATATATGTGTGTGTGTGTGTGTGTGTAACCAAGTAACTGATTAACTGACAAATTATGTATGCTTTCATGATTCACTTTATTGATCTGGCCGTGTGTGTACCTGTTACAAAAGCTCTGGTACCCTTTATCTAAAGTTCTAGCCGAGAAGGCAGCGGGGGATTTTTGCAAAGAAAATGGGATCGATTTAGTAACTGTTCTGCCTGCGTGGGTGATTGGACCTAGTTTGTCACCTGATCTATGCTTGACTGCATCACGGGTACTCAGCCTGCTTAAAGGTACTACTGCTGCTGCCTGGTTTATGTAGATCAAACCGATACACTGTAGATTACGCATGATTTTCACTTGTTGATCTTGGTTTAATTTAAATGGTTATTTTTTTCCTGAGCAATTAAGCAGGGGATACCGTATGGTATGGAAGAATGGGATATGTTCACATTGATGATGTTGCACTCTGTCACATCTTAGTTTATGAGCATGAAAGTGCTCATGGTCGATATCTTTGTAGCTCAACAGTTTTGGACAACGATGAGTTGGCTTCCTTATTATCCATGCGATATCCTTCCTTACCTATTGCCAAAAGGTAAATCGATCAATTCCCAATTGCTGAAAAGATTATGTCGTCAATGTGTGATTCGTACGTCATTGGTGTTTGATTTTGATAAGTTCAGCAATCGGAAATTGATAAGCTAGCTACATTTGATCTACCACATGGTAATAAAGTAGAAACATTTGAAGATGAACTTGAACAAGCAGAAATTTATATATACTCTGTTGTTTTGAAGTTTAATTAACATGGGAATTTTCAGGTTGAAGCAAGTAAGCAGACCATATTATGAGTTCGACACGTCAAAGTTGCAGAGTCTAGGATTCAAGTTCAAGAGTATCCAGGAGATGTTTGATGATTGCATTGACTCTTTGGTGGAGCAAGGCCATCTTTCTGCACTCTAGTTAATTTATGCTCTCTGATTTATCTTGCCTTTTAGTAAGTGTTGATCGAGGAAGGCGATTATAAAGACGTCGATGACGGTAGTCAGGATGGTATGAAGCAAGCAGAATTTACTTTTCATATGATCTTTATGCAGTGATTTCGTATATAATTATAAATAAACATGATTGCAAACAAATGCTTATGTTACCGAACAAATTCTTATATCATCAGATTGTGAATCTGAACTGAACATTTAGCAATCAGTTGATTAGTCGTTCAGAGTCACTACCGAGTTGCTTAGTGGTTCAGATTAACAGTATCAGGAGAGAACATTTTGTACACACACAAGGTAATTGGTGACATAAAATTTATATCGACAGACTGGAAATTGGGATCACTCTTTGTCTGGTGTGTATAGAGTTGTCAAACAGAACAACCAGTTTAAAGTCAGCCTATGAGTGTTTGAGTCCTGCTTCAGTCGGCCCACTTAGTAAATAGGTTGGGTTGATCTTGTTGGGCATAACCTCGACCCAGCCCTTTTCAACTTATGAGCTAGGTCCAATTTTAAGCTAATCAGGCGTAGTCATACCTTAATTCGTTTGACACCTCTATATATATATATATATATATTTAAGCCATAATTCTGAACATGATTATCTAATTGACAATTAAGACTCGGCAACATTACATGCTTGAATATTTGACATGAGAAATGAGTCTCTCTCTCCATATTTACTAATCATGAACTGATAATTAACTAATAAGAGGAAATGTTGTAAAATTGAATTGGTTTCAGTTTTATTTCTTGCTGCAAACTTGGTTTAAATGAATTATTTAGGCTATATTTAAGACGATTTTTGTGAAAGTACTTCAATTTATAAAGTGTATATATGGATAAGCATTTGAAAGTACTTCTTCAGAAATTGTTTTACGAACAACACACACCACTAAATTTATTTTACCAAACATAATCACAAATGCTTTTAGTTGTCATAAACCTTTATATTTCCTTCCGATATTTCATGGGTAATGGACATTACATGTAAACTCAATTACAAATGAGAGCGAGAGGGAGGGGGAATATTTCCTTGAGATTCTTTGTAACTCCCACCCCAACCCTTGAGGGTGATGGATGTGGCCCCTTACAGCCACCACAAAAACCTTGGTAGCTCCAGACCGACGTTACGACACGTGTCCATATGACCTGGACCATGATGGCAGGATATGCAATGCATGGAAACACGACACTATATACGGGAATTTTGCTATATTGTTGTCTCTATCTTCATAGAATTGGAACGAGGTAGATTTGATGGAAAACTCGTCGTATTTATGAAGTGTATTCATCAATAAAAATCAAGCTAGACCTTTTACTAAATCCTGCATTCATCAATAGTCACAATACGAGGTCCTAGACTTATGGATTTCACACAAACGGGATATTGACAATGCCAAAAACATGAACTCAAAAGTAGTATTAGAATCACGGGGAACATGAGAAGTTCACGTTAAAAAGTAAACATGCACTCATTTTTAGGATGCATATGAGGGAGTTTACTAAATTAATCTAAATTACAGATGAAGATTTAAACTTAGACGTAGAGTGAAAAACAGACTTCTTTAACCAACTTAATAAACATTTTTTTTTTGAAACTTGGATTATATGTGAACTCAATGTACATAATTCCTATCTCTGGCCATTAGTCAATCCCTTAGACAAACAATAAGTCTAGCCAGCATCAATGACTGAGGTCTTGATGATAAAAAAGTAGTATGTGCTAGAGTAGCAATAACAACTTGGATGGAATTTTGTAATTAAACTAATTAATATAGTTGCAATGACTTATTAGTTCCAAGTCATATTGAGCCGTGATACACCTCGACTCGGGATGTTCATCTGCACTCTGAATCGAGCTGTGATGGCCAACATCAGGAAGGTGACAAAGTCATAAAGTGTAATGATGTGGAAATATGAGTAAGTTTAAACCTAAAGTGACTAAATGCAAGAGTGCACATGTAAGCGGAAATGAACTCATTTCACATGTGATGTCAGAGCATAAGCATAGTACAGTAAAAGTAGGATAAAAATTATACCATCGAAGGTACCCTCCTATACCAACATTCGCCAATAATTCTCGTCGACTTAGAAGCTCTGCCACTAAACCTGGAGTGGCGGAAAACAAGGGTGAGTGGGCCGAGAAATAAAGCTTTGTAAAACCTTTTCGAAAGCGTAATAACCTTTCTCTATAAAACAAGCATAGCTTCCAAAAAGAGCATACTACGTATAGTATGAAAATACTTATCCTAAATCGTAATATCTCGAGAATGCACTACTTCACAATATTTTGTAAATAAACACATCATATCGAGTGCTCATCAACATATGTTGACACACAAGTTCATGCAGAGATATTCTGACATGAATAAGACTGGGTGTAATAATGATTTACACTCTAGTACTACAATCACGTGAAGACTGGCCCTATGTGCATCACATACGATCTAGGACATGACTGGCACCTACAATGGATCCAAAGTGAGTGTACGGTGCGATGTGAATATACACATGAAGACTAGCCCTGGCACGGGCGAGTACTAATACCAGTGTAGCACGTGATGAGCATAACACACACACACACACACACACACACACACACACACACACACACATATATATAATCATCCCACAATATTTCTATAGTTTTAGTCAATATAATAATATTTCTAGCCATAAATATAATTAAGGCATCCCCTCAAAGTACTCTTACATGGCTTCCCGTAGGATTTGTGAAGCCTTGTTTTATTGTTTGGCTTCCCTTGTCAAATGTTGTAAATTGTACCACATATACTCCAGTTAATTTTAGGGTTTAATTGCTTCTCTGGGATCATGTTGCTGGAAATGTTCATCTCAAGAGCTCAATCTCTCTCGTCAAAGGTTTGTTCATACATATGCATTTCATGCCATTATTTCTAGATCATTATGTCTAATGGTTCTGTCTAGTAAAAACTTCTCGCTGCTTTCACGCGGCTAGGCACACACTTTAAAACAACCCACATGGGCTTTCTGACAGCCTTTTTCGGAAGAGCGTTGTTCAACCCTAGATCTTTTCAAATTGCCTTTGAACATTACACATGGCATTTCCATCCCCTTCTCTTTGTCTAAAACAAGCCCACTATAAAAGCATCATCTAGGGTTTCATTTTAGATTGGTTAGGAGAGTTTATTTTATGAAAAATGTTGATTTTGGCTTGGAGCTGCCCTTTGGTTCTCACCTGAAAACCCTAGCCACAAAATCACACTCATGCACTAAACACCCAGATCATTGCATATTAGGGTAGCATTGCCTTTGTGATTTTGATCTTTGTTTCAAATTAAGTTTTTATAAGTTTCAAATCTTTCAACTGACCTCATTTTTTATTCGCGTCAATTTCATCTTTCAAGTGTTTGACTGGTGAAACTGACTAGATGACGAATCCAGATTTGCATCAACTTCATCATAATATCATTTGCATAAGTTGATTGGATTTCGGTGCCACTACATGAAGACCAAAGGAGTCCATCTCATGAAAGGCAAGGTTGCACAAAGGTACAAGCTGCTCCGTTGATTAGGTTCTAGGAATTGAGCTTGTGTGGCTTTGGAAGAATCTTGATTTCACTAGTGGATTGGACTCGGTGGAGAGTCCCCAATTTTTTAACCCGGAGGTCGTTTTTTCCGGTAAAAAACATCCCGTGCAATTTATTATCCACAAATAGATAGGTCCTTGCAACTAAACTTGTCAATATTAAAATGTGCACTAAGTTGGACCTTAGTTAAATAGGAACTTTTTAGTAAAATGAACTTTAATTTGACTTCTTCCTCTATGAGTAAACTAACATATCTAGGCTTAGTTGATGAGTGTGGTTGACTAGTCGGACAAACACGTATATAAATTTTAAATTGCAGGCTATTCCACTTAGTACCAATTTCAGGATTATTTCATAATTCCGAACAATACGACATTTCTTATAAATGTTAATTTAATTATGGCATTGCGTAGAAATTCATTATTAGAAATATATATATATATATATATATATATATATATATATATATATGCCACGCACCAAGTTGAGTTGTCGAAAAATTGGCTGGAAAAATAGCCCGCGCCATTGTGGTCACGGCGACAAAGCACAGTACCTCTAGGGAGGTGTGTATGCTCCACGTGCCAAGCACTATAGCACCACATGCAACCTTATGCGCCCGCAAGTACAGGCCGACTTGCCTTCCTTGAAAGGCCTAAAATTGGCCGATTTCTGAGCTTGACTTCCAGAACTTCGTTCGAACTCGATTCTTAACCATTTTCGAAGATTCAAAAGCCAAAATGAAGCTTGACGAGGGGAAGAGAATCATACCAAAAGGGACCGAGTCATGGCCAAAATTGACCAAAACCCACCTACAAAGTGGGTTGTCTTGCCGGAAAACTGGAGAATGTTTTTTCTCCGAGGGTCTCTGCATCCAAAGGCCACCAAACTTCTCAAAGCTATTCCAAATGTACACCAAAACACGATCTACTAGGTTCTAAAGGGTTTTCAAACGTTACCTTTGTCGGGAACGGTGAGAACTCGTTAGAGGAATATTAGAACAATGGTGATTACTGTGCCGCGAGATAGAGAAGAAATGAGGGACCTCGGCCTGATCTGGGTTTGTGATGGGAAGGTTTTGAAGGTGGTAGTACTTGTCAGAGTGCTTGCCAGTGATGGTGGAGGCATTATCATTGTTGTTGTGTGTTGGATGTGATCTCGGAGAGGGATAGAGAGTTCTAGATAGAGAGAGCTAAGGCAAAAAGAGTCATGAAAGGGAGAGAGTGAAGAGAGGGAATCCGGGGGAAGGTAAAAAACAAGGGGAAAATTGTGGGCCCCAGTGGCTCACAATACAAGACCATAAAAGATGAAACGGAAAAATATCTCGCAAAACATGAAATTACCGAAACGCCCTCAACGTTCTAAAATTCGTAAAATCTTCATTCTAGCTCCAAATTCAATTCTGTTTGCGCCCACGCGTTCGTAGCAACGAGTACTATAAGGATATGCTAAGGAAATGAGTCTTATGCGACATGACATGATGGTCAACAAAAGTCAACGTTTTTACCCCATGGATAGTTTGGTAAAATCACACCCTTAAAATTATAAAAGCCGTAAAATTATGGGCGAGTTATTACAAGTTGAGTTTGTGGGTAAGGATTGCTATGATAGAAAAATACATGAAACGAGAGACAATCTTTCACGTAATCGGTTTTAATGTTTTCCTTATCTTTTCTATTATGTGATCTGATCA